ATGGGCAGGGGTCTTTGCCCCTCTCAGGCACCTCAATTGCAGCAAGCTTATTGCTTATACAGAGACTAAAGGGGATATGAAGCAGTCAGCACAACGTCCTCATAAACCGCAGGCCCTTACTCTGCATTCTGTTTTTGCCTCAGTGGCTTAGCCATTTTTACCTCGACTCAACAGCCCTCAAGAGTGGGGGGAGAGCAGATAGGTCCAGCAGCCAAGATGGGGCAAGTCATGCTAACTGTCTCAAGCCCTTGGCATGAACACTGCATTTCCTGGTCTTTTACTTTGCAAATGAAGGGCAAACACCTTCAATTGCACTTCTCGGAGGGTGGAGAACAAGAGGCGGAAGACACATGGTAAGCACATCAGCAATACAAGAAAACAAGCAGCAATGGCAAGCAGTGATGAAAAAGAGGGGATATGAAACTGTTGTACCCAAGAGGACATGGCATCAACAAAACTGTGAGCAATAGAGTCATCATCAGGTAACTGTGACCGAGAAAGGTCAATGGCTGAAATTTCTTGCTGCAAACGTGAGATGTCAAGAGAGAGATTGTTATGAGAACCAGATGCCCTGTAAATGGGCCTTAATAAGTGGCCACTGCCACTGGGAATCATTGTAAGGAGCGCTGGTAACACATATATATTTATAATGAGCATGACAGCAGAGTGAAAGTCTATTTTGTAAGTTATACACGTTGCCCCTAGTATGGTTACAGTTTGCTCTAAGGCATTCAGTTTAGCTTCTAATTTGTCATCAATAGACATTTGAGTTCCCATAGCAATAGAAACATTTTTTTGCCAAGTGATTCACATATTACAGCAGTATTAACAGATTTAGTAAGACCGACAACAGTTGTAGCTATAGAAGCTATCACAGATGCAATGGCAACAATTCCAGCAATGAGTATACCAAGGAAATGTTTTTGGCATTGAAGGAACAGAGATTGGGTTTTGTAGAACAGAGAGTATGAATGTTCATCATACCAAGGACCTGAAATATTTACAGGGAGCATAACCTAAGGGGGTTGATGAACAACAAGAATTGTATCAACAGGGAACGTGGAAGCATCAATACAGTTTGTGAGTACACAATTTAAACAGGAAATAGTATAATGACCATTTTGAACATGAAAAGACACTGGACCTAGCAAAAGGGCATAGGTGCAGTTTGGCAGCATGGAAACACATAGGAGGAGAGATGGATTGACCAAAGAGGGTGTAATTTGCTGATTGAGGATAGATGTGAGCGGCTGAAGGGGTGCCAAATATTGAGGTGTCATTAAGGAAGACAGTAAAGGCAAGGTCTTCCCAAGTAAAAGGGCAGAGTAAAGGAGGATCAGGGACATAGGCCCAAAAAGTGTCAGGAGAATCATAAGTGGGCACAGGACATGCCAACATAGGATCACAAGACAAAACGTCTAGCATGGCTAAAAACAGAGTGGGAGTGTCCTTGCTGACGAACAATGCGTGACGCATCAGTCACCAGGCGTTGCATTTGGGTCCAGGTCAGGACTGGAACTTCTTGAGGAGGCGCCGGCTGGTGCTGAGGGTGATGGGCATGGCGGGGCGTTGTCCTCTGCAGATGTAGACGTCGGATTCTCGGGAGAAGGGAGTTCGGTGAAGTCATCTGAGGGCATGGCCGACGGGGAGATGTCAGTCGGGGAAATGGGACAGTCACTGGTCTTGGGGAGGACTGTCCTCTTTGGGGCATGCTTGACATGTCATTCAGGTACCCAGATAGGTGAGGGGACAGATCTAGGAAAAACACAAACGTGACCTCTGCCCCAAACTAACACTGGGTCAGGGCCATTCCACTGATTAGAGAACAAATCTTTCCATAACACCATAGGCATGGCTGAGTCCCTTGGGTGCCAGAAATGATCAGGTGCTGAGTGGCCCCGGGCATCAAGGGTTAAAAAATTTAGAACATAAAGAGCATGTCGAAGTACATCATGTGGAGACTTGTAAAAGGAAGAAGGTGAATTATTTAGTTTAAGTAATAAAGTTTTAAGGGTGGCTTGAGCACGTTCAACAATTCCCTGTTCCTGAGGATTATAGGGAATTCCTGTCTTATGAATCACCTGGAATTGAGAGCAAAGGGTTTGGAATGAAGAGCTGGTGTAAGCTGGAGCATTATCAGTCTTTAAAATGTTTGGTGCACCTAGGCTGGAAAACACGAGTAGACAATGAGCAGTCACGTCCTTGACTGCCTCTCCTGTATGGGCTGAAGCTATTATGAAATGAGAAAAAGTGTCAATAGTTACATGCACATATTTTAAATGACCAAAAGAAGCAATATGAGTGACAACCATCTGAAAGATGTGGCCAGGCTGCAGGCCACGAGGGTTTACTCCGGTATGTGCAGTTTGAGGCAAGTGAGTCACACAAGCAGGGCATTGCTTAAAAATGGCACGAGCCTGTTCTCTGGTGATGTGAAACTGCAGCCACAGGCTACATGAGTCTTGGTGGTGCAAGGTGTGAGATGTCTCTGCCTGTTGAAAGGGGGAAAAGGCAGGGGCTATAACTGGGTAAGTGAGAGCATCAGCATGTCTGTTGCCTGCAGGGAGAGGTCTGGGTAAATCAGTATGTGCACGAATATGGCCAATAAAAAATTGATGAGTCCACTTACAGATAGTCTGCTGTAAAGGAAGAAGTAGGTGTATTATAGCAGAACTGTCAGAGAATGATAGGGGTGCTGTCTCCAGCAGATTAATCAAGTTAACTACATATTGACTGTCAGAGTATATATTAACTGATTGACCACAAGTGGAGAGCACATGTTGAACAGCAAGCAGTTCCACCCTTTGGGTGGAAGTTTCAGGCATCTGGAAAGAAAAGGGAACATCATCAATCTGTCCAGCAGGAAGTCCATTTGAGGAACCATCTGTAAATGCCAAAGCGGCCTGAGAAATTGGCTGCAAAGAACAAGTTTTGGGGAAAATGAGATTACATTGAGAATAAAAATGCAATATTTTGTCTTTGGGATAGTGGCAGGAAAGCTGTCCTGTGAAACCTGTAAGAGCTATTTGCCACGAGTAAGAGAATGACCGTAACTAGGACTGTTCTTGAGCGGTGTAAGGAACAATTATAAGAGGTGGGTCAGAGCCAAAGAGAGCAAGTGCCCTGAGGTGGCCTTTGGCAATTAGCATAGACACTAAGTTATGATAAGGAGTAACAATACCAGGCTGACTGGCAGACAGATGGAGCCACTCCAAGATTCCCTTTTACCAGAAAAGGCCTTTGGGGGTGTAGGAGGTGCATAAAATGCATAAACACCAAGAAACCCCAGTAGTGACACGGTTTAGTTTTTGTTCTGAGAGAGCCTCTTACACCAATTGCAAGGCATGTCTAGCCTCATCAGTAAGTGTCCGGGGAGACTTTGGGTCTGCGGGGCCTCTGAGCATATCAAAAAGAGGCTTGAGTTGACCAGTAGTTAATTTAAGGCTAGGTCTGATCCAATTACTGTCTCCCAAAAACTTTTGGAATTTGTTTAATGTATGGAGATGGGCAGTAGGTAAGACAGAAGTCTTATAGGAAACTTGACTGGAGTCAATGAGGCGACCTAAGTAATGCAAAGGAGTTACTTTTTGGACTTTATCAGCAGATATAACTAAGTTTGAATTTGTAAGGAGGTCGCTTAAATCCCGAAAGGCTTCCTGTAGGAGGCCGGGGGGAAGGAGCAGCCAAAAGGAGATCATCCATATAATGTAGCAAAAGAACATCCGGATAGTGCTCACAGAGGGGTGCAATTGCCTGAGCAACAAATTTCTGACACAAGGTGGGGCTATTTGCCATTCCTTAAGGCAGAACAGCCCACTCACAGCGTTCAAAAGGCCTGTCAAAATTGGTTGCAGGAACACTGAAGGCAAACTTGCAGCAATCTTGAGGTGCCAAGGGGATGGAAAAGAAGCAGTCTTTCAAATCAATAACTAGTAATTCCCAATCTTGAGGAACAACAACAGGTAAAGGGAGACCAGGTTGTAGAGGTCCCATGACTTCCATAATTTCATTTACTTTCCTACTGTCTTGTAAGAGTCTCCATTTACCAGATTTCTTTCTAATGACAAAAATAGGAGTATTCCATGGACTATTAGAATGTCTTCAATGGCCAGCTGCGAGCTGTTCCTGGACCAGCTCTATTATCTGACCAAGATAACAGTTGAGAGGACTGACAAGGGTTAGAGGAAGTGCCAATGCCCTGCAGGGACAGCCTGTGTGACAGGCTATGCAGGGGGCCAAAACTCGGAGGAAATTACAGAAATATCCACTCCAGTGTCTAAAAGAAGGCGTAGTAAGCACAGGAAAAGCTTGAGCAGGTTTAGAAAGCAAAGCCAGGAGCCTGAAAAATTCCTCGGGGGCGTCTCGAGCTCCTCCATTTCCAGCTCCAGGTCCAACTCTGAGGGTGGAATCGGGCTCATTTAGAGGATTACAATGTGGCAAATTACAGCCACCCCTCCATCATCAGGGTTAGATTTGTAAGAGGAAGAGGGATTAGAAGCAAGAGAGGCAGCAGGGTAGCTGTGAGTGCCAGTGCTTGCTGCGTTGCAGGAAGGCAGGCAGACGGTATGGCACAGCTGCGGCCAAACTGAAAGCAGCAGTTCTGCCTGCGGGGAAGACTGATGAGCGGCGGCATATTCCTCAATCTTAGTTCCTATTTTACTCCACGTAGATTAATCTAAGGATCCCTCCTCAGGGACCCACGGACACAATTCATAGACAATCTCTAAAAACCTAGAAACATGTTTCATTTTTACATCAGCACCTCTATTTCTTAACATTTGATGCATCAACATTACAAACACAGACTGATTTCTGGACTCATATTTCTTCATCTTTACTCCAGATGAATTTTGAGTCCAGAACTACAAGAACCGCAGCTTTACCTTGTCTGCTCTGATCTGGGGTGTGTCACTGTACCTCTCGTACTCAGGTCCCTGTTCAGGCACCAGATGTCGGGGTCCGGCATGTCTGCCAGGGGGCTACTGACCTGTGGGAGTCCCCAAGACCACCAATGTAGATGTCTCGTTCAACCTGAGGGAGAGAGCGCATGGAAGTGAAAGAAGATAGGAAAGTGCAGTCTGGAGGTCTACTTGCAGTTAAGCAACTTTATTTTTGTGAGTGACAGCTTTTATACCTTTTTTCTTGTTACATTTACTTTAGCTCAGCAGAAAAGGGGGCAAACAGAAAAGGGAACAGAAATCATGCAAAAATAGTCATCAGGGGCCTGTGATAACAGCTCACAAAGCAGTTTTAAGGGGGCTTGTGATAATAGCTTACAAAGCAGTTTAAGAGTTAATATATGTTTTTCAAAGATACACAGTGCAAACAAACAAGGGTTCCCTTAAGGTGGCTTGTTAACTATGTTTTCCATCAGGAGGTAGAGCAAAGGCTCAGCTCCTGAGCAAATATGGGCAGGGGTCTTTGCCCCTCTCAGGCACCTCAATTGCAGCAAGCTTATTGCTTACACAGAGACTAAAGGGGATATGAAGCAGTCAGCACAATGTCCACATAAACTGCAGGCCCTTACTCTGCATTCTGTTTTTGCCTCAGTGGCTTAGCCATTTTTACCTCGATTCAACAGCCCTCGAGAGCGGGGGGAGAGCAGATAGGTCCAGCAGCCAAGATGGGGCGAGTCATGCTAACTGTCTCAAGCCCTTGACATGAACACTGCACTAGGCTTGGCCTCTGTGTGGTTCCAGGATGATGTCAGGAATACAGATCAGCTCAGTTTAGAGACTTAGCACACTATATGGCACCACAAATGCCCAAAGGAACCAACTTTAACAAAGGTTTGTATAAACTTCCTTACTGCATGTATGTCTTCTATACAGTAGCATTCAATGCAAGTTCCCCTGGCATTTCAGCCACCTATTAGCACCATAACACACATCTTTAACAAACAACAAGTATGTTTTCAAGAAAGACAAAAGAGTAGGAACTTAAGAGCCATCTAAGTATAGTGATCAATTCTGCACATTTTCACAGATTCAAATGTACTTACAGGAACAACAGAATAGTATATTTTAATTAGGACTGTTCTCAAAGGTGAGAAATGCATGGGGATGCGCAGCTGTCATAAAGCTAGGTCACTATAAACAGACACCATTTACTTCTCTTGGAAGTGAGAAACATATCCTAGGATTTTGAGAAAACAAACACTGGTGGGTGTTGTTTTTTTTCAGAGTGGCTATTGAGAAGAGTTAGAAATACCTGAGGGCTACAATGTGTGCCAAAGATTGCAAAGGAAGAGTCAACATTTCATACTAAGTGTGAATCTTGAGTTATATCCTTTCAGCAAAAACAAACATCATGAGGAGTCAGCATGCAGACACAATCTGCTTTTCTCACTGCTTCTCCCTGCTTTCCCCCCAGCTGACTTCACCAGCTAATGCCATGCCTGAGATCTTGTAGGCACTTAATTAATATTTGTTGAATGTATAAAATGGTATCTACAATCATGTCTTAAAAGGACCCATGCTATCTCCTTCCTCACCTCTATGAAATTTTATACTACAGAAAAGACATAATCAACTTGGACCTAAAAAGGCATCACACTTGACTGTGAGAAGCATCCAATCTAGAGCAGTGGTTTTCTACACTGGCTGTATGTCGAAATCATTCAGAGAGCTTTCTAAAAACATTTATGCCTCAGCCCCACCCTCAGAAAATCTGATTCAATTGAACTGGAGTGAGGCCCAGGCCATGGTGTTTTTTTGTTTTTTTTTGTTTTTGTTTTTCTAATGTGCAGCCAGGCCTGACAATTCCTGGTACAGTCCAACCCCTTCAGAGACTTGAGGTCACTTCACCATAGCCAGAGAGCTCAGAGAAGGCACAGGCAAGAGACAAAAATCACAGCATACCTACCGAGTTACTCCAAAGTTTGTCAGCTCTTTTTGTCATGAGATTCTTCCTTCTAACTCACATTTCTGCCTTCCATTTTTAGTATTCATATATCCATTTAGCAAATTGTTATTAAGCATCTACCATGTGCCAGATGCTGGGTGTCAGGTATATGGCAGTGTAAAAGAACAATAAATTTGGGGGCCCTTAAATCACTAAGCTAAAGGGTAGAGTCAAGCTGGGAACTGCTTAGGGCAAACCTGCCTCACCCTCTATTCAAAGTCATCCTTCTGCTCACTGAGGTAAATGCACATCTGATTGCCTCCTTTGGAGAGGTTAGTCAGAAACTCAAAAGAATGTAACCATTTGTCTCTTATCTACCTATGACCTAGAGGCCCCCTCCCCATTTCCAGTCTTCCTGCCTTTGCTTCAAGTTGTTCCACCTTTTAGATCAAACAAATGTACATCTTGCATATGTTGATTGATGTCTCATGTCTCCCTAGAATGTATAAAACCAAACTGTGCTCTGACCACCTTGGGCACATGTCATCAGGACCTCCTGAGGCTGTGTCATAGGCATGCATCCTCAACCTTGGCAAAATAAACTTTCTAAATTACCTGAGACCTGTCTCAGGTTTCCAGGGTTCATATTTTGGTAACCATGAAGGAATTCTGTGTGAAGATGCCCCTGACCTTTGACAAATCTCCTATTGGTGTGTGGTACCAGCATGAGCTAACTTTATGGCTCAAACCAAGAGGACAATTTCCTGAGGTCTGAGAGCACCCCATCCAGAGAATCTCTGATCGCCCCAAATTTGATAGAGATCTAAAGTTAATTTTGGTGTACAACTGCTCTTTTTTGGAGTTTTATTTGCTTCCAATAAGGAAGACAAGATTTCCTGTTTCCATGATTATAGAAGGCAGGTAGCTTCCTTACAGAGTTTGAGCTTGCTTCCAACAGGAAAGATGAGTATTTTTTCCTGCTCCTAGAATGGAAGACAGCAGCCTCCAGCCTGAGACTTAGCCTTAGGTCAGTAACTGAATTAGGGTTTGGATTGGATAAAGTTAAGATTAACAACAAGTTTGTCTTAATTTCTCCTATTAGAGTGCTCAGTAATTATGTAAGTTGCACCATCATTTGTTTTGTTTAACTGCTTTTGTTGTTGTTGTTGTTTATTTTTCTGTTTTTATTGTTGTTTTGGTCTTTTTCCCACTGGGTTTGATCAACTCTATCTGCCTTGATCAAATCTGAAGGAAAGTCCCAAATTACAGGGAAGAAGCTCTCTAAAGTGGCTAAATCCTGCGCCTGAACAAACAAAAGTTAATGTGGTAGGGGAGAAATACAGTCAGCAAAAAGAAAAAAAAAAGATTTTTTTTTTTTACTACTAAAGGGGCTTTATTTCCATAATAAGACCACCTTTTTCTAGTGAGGCCAAATTGAACACAATGGCTGTCACCCCACGCTGCAGTTCGATAGCTATGGTTGTGCCTTTTTTTTACTGTCATGACAGTCTTCGGTTTGGTGCCTAAATTAAGCCCTTTCTGGTTTGATACTTGTTACTTCTAAAATAGCAGAAAATTGTCCTAGCTGAAATATAGTAATGAAATTTTAAAAGATACTTTAAAAGTGCTCAGTAGTTAAAAGTCAGCTTAATTAAAAGCTAACATCCAAGATGTATGTGAATGTGTGCATGTGTGCATGCTTGCATTGAAAAGGCCATTACGGTTTGTTTGTTGTTTTTTTTTTTTTTTTTTTGTAATCTCCTCAGACCTTGTCTTTTTTTTGAGCAAACGTTTTTTTTCTTCTCAGTTGACTAAATTCTGTTTTCTTCATTAATAGTGTAAGGCCAGATGCCTCATCAGGAGCCTGGACAGCTACCCAGCTCTGCACTCAGCACCCAGCTCTGCACTCAGCACTCAGTTGTGCACCCAGTCCTCCAGTCGGGAATTCCGGCTGATGCAACCCTAACCAAATCTTGCACCAAAAAACCCGCCCAACAACCCAACAACCAATAGGAGCCCAATCCCACTCCCCCAGAGCCAATCAGAGCACTTTGCTGTTGCTCGTTACTCATAGCCACAGAAACCCCATGCCCCAGGAAGTCAGAGTGACTTCTCTGGCCCCCTTTCCCCTGACCATAGAACCTCACCCAGGAGCTGAATAAACTGGCATTTAATTTTCTTATACTGGCCTCAGTTTCTTCAATTTAAACTCGGCAATAACGCTTACAAATAGCTATTGCAACAATAGCTACTGTGGGGTTTTTAAGAAAAAGTGTATTTTAGACACTTAGAAATGTCTTTCTTAAAAAAAAAAAAAAAATTAATGCACTGCAAAAGCATCACATATTCTAACCTCAAAATAATTCTCCCTTTTTGGAAACCCAGGATTCAGTGTGGGCTCTTCCCAGAGCTCAGAGATCCAGTTAAAAGATAGGTAGTTTCTATCTAAAGAAAATTTCTCTCCTTATACAATCCTCAGAAAGTGGTTTATAGTTTTATGTTTGATTTGGCATCCATCTTTAATCTCCCTCCAGCAGTAACAGAACTTTTCTCTCTGTTCCTTATGGTGCAAATTTGCCATCTGATTTTCACCTGAATTGTTTCCTTTAATATGCAAATTTAAGGCTATTTAGCTGACAACTGCCTAGGGTTGTAAAACAGCTTATCAAGAATCTTAAAGTCTAAGATAGGGGAGAAAAAGGTCTTTATGAAACTATAAGATGTACTTCTATTGGCATGCCTAATGTATGTATATGTATTTATCTGTTGTGTACACAATGTTTCACTACTGAAAATACATAAAAGAGTTCTAATTAATTGGATTAAAGAAAAAAGTACTTAAATACTTTATCAGAAAAAGGAAAGACTAGTCAAAATGCTTTTTAAGTTTATAAGAATTAACTAAAATCTTTAATAAGCAAGCTAGCTTTAAAATTATTGGTTAAGGGCTGGGCACGGTGGCTCACGCCTGTAATCCCAGCACTTTGGGAGGCCGAGGTGGGTGGATCATGAGGTCAAGAGATCGAGACCATCCTGGTCAACATGGTGAAACCCCGTCTCTACTTAAAACACAAAAAAATTAGCTGGGCATGGTGATGCATGCCTGTAATCCCAGCTACTCAGGAGGCTGTGGCAGGAGAATTGCCTGAACCCAAGAGGAAGGGGTTGCGGTGAGCTGAGATCGTGCCATTGCACTCCAGCCTGGGTAACAAGAGTGAAACTTTATCTCAAAAAAAAAAAAAATTATTGGTTAAGTAATATTAGAAAGGTCTTAGGAATTGCCAGCATACATTCCTCTTTGCATTTATTAATCAAGCAATTTCATACTTATTCCTGCTATATACTATAAGGTGTCAAAATTTGGTGAAGGGGTAAAAAAACTATAAACTCGGCCCAAGACAGAATGCACTTTGCTTGTGTAATCTTTAATAAGTAAGACATTGATATTGGTTTAATGAAAATAGCTACACCTTGAATTATTTAGTAAAATTATCATAACTTCTAATCTTCTGGCTTTAGGCAGTATAGCCCACAGGCAGTAAAGAGGTTTGTTCTGGGAAAGAATGGTTATCATCTTTGTTTCAAAGCTAAACTATGAATTAAGTTTCTCCCAAAGTCCAGGAATGAACAATGACAGCTTGGAGATTAGAAGCAAGATGGCATTAATTAGAACAGATCTTTTTCATTGTCGTAGTTAAAATTTTGCAATGGCAACTTTTACAACTTTAAATGATTACTATTGCAGTTTTCATAAATAATCTAGATAAATGAATAAAATAGGTAAATGGGATAAATACTTGCAGACAAACTTGTCATAATTTAGAATCTAAAGTTATATTAAATAATATATATTAAAATATCTGGGTATGTTCCCATAAGAATATACTGTAGCAAAACAATCTTTCCCAAAAAACAGTGTCATTTTTAAAAAGCTGAATAATTTTTGTCTAATTCAAAGCTTACTTAAAGGTTATGTATAAAACAAGGTAAAAGGAACCAGGAAATAAGAGAGATATAAAGAAAGTTATAGAAATAAAGAGGTATTTCTTGGGAAGAAAGCATAAAGGGAAATAATTGTATATGAAAAAGAATCTTGTATGATAAATTTAGACCTAAAACGAGATGACTGGTTGTTTAAGAAAGAGTGATACATTCTGCCAGGAAGGCCAAAAGCAACAGCGCTGGAGTGCAGTTCCCAGTGAGAGAGATGCAGAAGGCAAGTGAACTCCACATTTCCAACCAAGGTACCAGGTTCATCATAATGAGACTGGCTGGACAGTTGGTATAGCCCAAAGACGACAAACTGAGGCAGGGCGGGGAACTGCCCCACCTGGGAAGAGGAACTTGCCAGAGGATCAGTCCTCCAGCACTCTGGTTCAGATACTGCACTTCTTCCACGGCCTTTGCAACCCACAGACCTGGAGATCCCCATCAGGCTGACAAGCACCACAAGTTACCAGCACAGATCTGAGTGCCCACTCCAGATGGCACCACAGTGTGTCACCACAGTTCTAGGAAGATGTTTTGGCTGGTGCTGGGAGCACCTGCAAGATAGAGCTTCCCACTCCCCCAAAAGAGGGAGAACTGAAAGGAGGGACACAGGTGATATGGTTTGGCAGGTCCCACCCCGACAAAGACCAGCAAACTGAAGCCCTCTCACTTGAGAGCTTCATAGCCAGCCTATCAGTTCGAGCTCAACCCGGCACGATCAAGCTCCATGGGGGGAAGGGCGTCAGCCATTGCTGAGGTGGTTCTAATCTCACCTGCATAAACAAAAGCTAGAGGAAGCTTACACAGCAGCTGGACTGAGCCCGTGGCAGCCCAGCAGTGCCTCTGCAGGCAGACAAAGGACAGACTGCCTCCTAAAGTGGCTCTCGGTCCCTGTATAACCAAAAAGACACCTCATGCAGGAGAGCTCTTAACGCAACAAGAAAAGCTAACTATCCTAAATATATATGCACCCAATACAGGAGCACCCAGATACATAAAGCAAGTTCTGGCATCTGGTGGTTACCCTTCTGGGAGGAAGCTACCAGAGGAAAGATCAGGCAGCAATCCTTGCTGTTCTGCAACACCTGCAGGTGATTTCCAGGCAAGCAAGTTCTGAAGTGGACCTCCAGCAGTCCTATACCAGAGGGGCCTGACTGTTAGAAGGAAAACCAAAAAACCAAAAGAAATAGCTTCATCATCAACAGAAAGGACATCCACTCAGCAACCCAACCAAATGTCAGCAACTTAAAAGACCAAAGGTAGACAAATCCACAAAGATGGGAAGAAACCAGTGCCAAAGGCTGAAATTGCCAGAAACCAGAATGCCTCTCCTCCTCCAAAGGATCACAACTCCTCACCAGCAAGAGAACAAAACAGGATGGAGGATGAGTTTGAAAATGCACAGAAGCAGGCTTCAGAAGGTGGGTAATAAACTTCTCTGAGCTAAAGGAGCATGTTCTAACCCAATGCAAAGAAACTAAGAACCTTGAAAAAAGGTTAGATGAAATACTAACTAGAATAACCAGCTTAGACAAGAATATAAATGACTTGATGGAGCTGAAAAACCCAGCACGAGAACTTCATGAGGCATACACAAGTTTCAACAGCTGAATTGATCAAGCAGAAGAAAGGATATCATACGTTGATGATCAACTTAATGAAATAAAACGAGAAGGCAAGATTAGAGAAAAAAGAGTGAAAAGAAATGAACAGTCTCCAAGAAAAAAGGGATTATGTGAAAAGACCTAATCTACACTTGATTGGTGTACCTGAAGATGACAAGGAGAATGAATCCAAGCTGGAAAACCATCTTCAGGATGTTATCCAGGAGAACTTCCCCAACCCAGCAAGGCAGTCCAACATTCACATTAAGGAAATACAGAGAACACCACAAAGATACTCTGCAAGAAGAGCAACTCCAAGGCACATAATCAACAGATTCACCAGGGTTTAAATGAAAGAAAAAATGCTAAGGGCAGCCAGAGAGAAAGGTCAGGTCACCCACAAAAGGAAGCCCATCAGACTCACAGAAGATCTCTCAGCAGAAACCTTAGAGCCAGAAGAGAATGGGGGCAAATATTCAACATTCTTAAAGAAAAGAACTTTCGACCCAGAATTTCATATCCAGACCAAATAAGCTTCATAAGCGAAGGAGAAAGAAAATCCCTTACAGACAAGCAATTGCTGAGAGATTTCACCACCACCAGACCTGACTAACAAGAGCTCCTGAAGGAAGCACTAAACATAGAAAGGAACAACCAGTATCAGCCACTGCAAGAACATACCAAATGGTAAAGACCAACAATATAATAAAGAAACTGTGTCAACTAATGGGCAAAACAACAAGCCAGTAACAAAATGGAAGGATTAAATTCATACATAACAATATTAACCCTAAATGTAAATGAGCTAAATGCCCCAATCAAAAGACAGATGGGCAAATTGGATAAAAAGTCAAGACCCATTGGTGTGCTGTATTCAGGAGATCCACCTCACATGCAAAGACACACATAGACTCAACATAAAGAGATGGAAGAAGATTTACCAAGTAAATGGAGAGAAAAAAAAAGCAGGGATTGCAATCCGAGTCTCTGATAAAACAGACTTTAAACCAGCAAAGATCAAAAGAGACAAACAAGGGCATTACATAATGGTAAAAGAATTAACGCAACAAGAAAAGCTAACTATCCTAAATATATATGCACCCAATACAGGAGCATCCAGATACATAAAGCAAGTTCTTAACAACCTACAAAGAGACTTAGACTCCCAGACAATAATAGTGAGACATTAACACTCCACTTTCAATATTAGACAGATCAATGAGACAGAAAACCAGCAAGGATATCCAGGATTTCAATGCAGATCTGGACCAAGTGGACCTAATAGATACCTACAGAACTCTCCATCCCAAATTCACAGAATATACATTCTTTTCAGCACAACATTGCACATACTCTAAAATGAACCACATAATTGGAAATAAATTATTCCTCAGCAGATGCAAAAGAACACAAATCACAGCAAACAGTCTCTCAGACCACAGTGC